TGTGTCCAACACAATGCTCTAGCCACATCGAATTCCTTTTCAGCCTCACATGGCTCCTGACTTGTGCACTTTTGTGCCTCTGCTTTTTTTTTCCCTCTGCCTAGAATACCTTCCCCTGTGCCTACCTGGTAACCCCCCTCAGCCTTCAAGGCAAGCTCAAATGTCCCCTCCGTTGCGAAGCCTCCCCCTTCCTCTTTTTGCTCTCTGCTTCCTCCATACCCTGTATGTGTCTTAGCTGTAGGGCTTGTAATTCTAATTCTTATTCTCCTGTCATAATTTTTAAATTTATATTTTTGCCTCTCAGGCTGTGAATTTGAGGGGGTAGGGCAGGGACCACATCTTATTGGTATTTATAGAGTGTTTGGAAAGAGTCTGGAGGAGGCTGGAAAGAAGACAAAGAGAGGTGGTGGTTAGTGAGCAAAAAGAACTACTTTTTTCTCTGAAACAAAAGGGAAGGATCTGAAGATGAGCCATAGGAAGTCTGTAGAAAACAATCTTTTAAAAATACTTATTTTATTTATTTATGCATACAAGAACTAGGGTGCAGGCCAGAGGGTGCCCGGGGGTAAGAGGATTCACCAGAGAGAGAGTAGGGAGCAGAACAGACAGATCTACTGAAATACGCTGCTGAGGGGAGCAGCAGGCAAGACAGGAGAGGTCTGCTGCGCCATGTGGGTTAGCTCCCTGGCAGGGCATCAAACTCATGCCAAAGTGGCTGGCAATAGCTTGATAGAACTGAGACTTTATCTCCTGCATCACCAGGGAGGCACCTGTAGCAAGAATTTTTAACGTTAAAGGGACCAATCTGAAGGGAGAAATCTGGCTTGAGGGAGGAAGGCCTGAAGACATGAGAAAGGTAGGGGGCCTCTCTGGTGGCCTAGGGGTTAAGTCTCAGCATTATCACCTCTATGACCTGAGTTCAATCCCCTGCCAGGGAGCTAACCCACATATGGCGCAGCAGACTTCTCCTATCTCTCCCACTGCTCCCTCCTCTCAGCACTGTATTTCAGTAAAGCCACTTGTTCTACTCTCCACTCTGTCTCTGGTGAATCTTCTCACTACCTGGTCCTCCGGCCTACATCCCAGTTCTTCTACGCATAAATAAAATCTTTGAGAGAGAGAGAGAGAAATAGAGACAGACATATGAGGAGGGTAAAGAAGAGGTGGCATGGGTGCTGCCTGAGGAACAGATCCTTCTCCTTCCTCAGATGTGTGAGCTCTCAGGATGGACCCAGTGCCTGGGTTGGCAAAAAGGAACTTGGGAGAAATCACCAAATGGTTTTGTTTTCACATTTGAGTCCAGCAGGGAGTAGCTGGTGCCTCCAGCTGGAGGGAAGAGGTAAGTTTTTCCAGTGATGCGCTTAAGAGGCAAAGGGTTAGTGGTGGTAGGTAGCCTAGAGTGTTCTTTAGGCAGACGCACTGTGAGGAGGATGGCAGGGAATTTGGGCAGCAAGACCATCCTCAGGAAGCATGGCAGGTGTGGCAGTGCAAACGCAGCTGGGGAGGAAGTGTCCGTAGGCGAGGCTGCGCTGCTGTTTGTTCCACTGACTGCATCAAAGCCAGTCCTTCCCTTGGTGGTGAGGACTTAGAAAAAAAGCAACACTTGGCATGTGTTGCTATCAGACTAGGCCATCAGACTAGGCCATCAGACTAGGCTGCTTGGATTGCTTATTGTTTCATTTACAAAGCACCCTTGAGGGCCTCCCTGGTGGCACAAGGGGTTAAGCACAGCACCGTGAAGCTATCAGCAGCCACTGCAGCAAGATCCCTGGCCAGCCAGGGAGCTACCCATATGGCACAGCAGACCTCTACTGTCTTGCCTGCTGCTCCCCTCAGCAGTGTATTTCAGTTAGTCTGCCTGTTCTGTTCCCCACTCTGTCTCTGGTGAATCTCACCCCCCCCCACCTCTGGCCTGTACCCCAGCTCTCATATGCATAAATGAATCTTTAAAAACAACAAAGCACCCTTGACAACCTACTTCAGGTGACCCTTCAAAAACATCCCACCAATGTCTTGGTCGAAGTACTTCATTGCAAACAACCGAAATTGTGAGGAATTTATTGAAAGGATACAGAGTGTTCAGGGAGGCCAGAGATCCGCATATGGAAAATGGGTAGGCCAGGCAGTGGGCACCACCACTGAGTTCATACCTCAGGAACAATCTGAATGATCACTGTCCCAGGCAGGGATGTCACCCCTTCCCTCACACCCCTCTGGGACCCACTGCAATTGGACACCTGCTGTCTCTGTCTCTGTGAATGATTCTGAACTTGTCAATACATCTTCACATTATTCCCCAAAAAGTTAAAGTTCACAAAGGAGTGATTTGCATCATATGTCCTGTTTGGGCTTCTAGGGGGGCGGGGAGAACTATATCTCCCTGATCTAGCATTCGGAGTCTCATCAGTACTACCTAGAATGGGGCATTCCCTTAAGTAGGAAGGAGGTTTGGATGTTGGTGGTATACTCAACACTACAAAATGCCCACCATGCCCTCATTTTTCTGATTGGTTTTCTTTTCTAGTTACTCTTTTTTTTTTTTTTTCCAGGTGTCAGTTGTGACCCTAGTCCTAGGCTCCCAGGCTCGCAACTTTAGAATTATCCTCATCTCCCTTGTTTTCTCATATAGTCAATGACTCCAGATTTCTTACATTTTCCCTGCTTTCTGTCACTGCCACTGCTTTAGTAAGATGGACACACTGGAAATTGGGATTCACAATTATAGACTGTTAGAACTGGAAGAACCCTTTGAATTTATTGCAATGTTTTACCTAGGAATATGGTATTAAGAAAAAAATATATATATAGTGACATCCCATTCTCAGTTTGGCTCAGAAGATCTGAGATAGGATTTGGGTGTGTGTGCGTGTGCGTGTGTGTGTGTGTGTTGTGTAGCGCATTGTAGGTTGAGAACTGCTGAATTCCAATATGCTGATTTAAAAGATGAAAGAAACTGAGGCCCAGAGAAAAGCTACATGTTTGAAATCACAAGATGACCTATAAAAGGGGGAGAGAGGCTAGGACCATCCCAGATCTCCTGGGTTTTGGTCCAGACCGCTTATTTTTTTCCCCTCTGCGAAAAGAAATCTCCTGTTTTTATTTGCATCCAAGAAATGATGCTATAATTTCATGGTTCAGCTCAGATTAAGAACCCCAAATTGTGAAGCGATAACAGTCCCATAACAAGGACCCTGTTTTCTAATGGTTGTTGGCTTGATCTCTGGACCACAGACTTCCTGTGTCAGAATCTGGGCAAAGATTCTTAAGAACCTCAAGTGGGTAATGAAGTGAGGAGGCTGCCTGGATAAAGGACAGTCCTTCTGAGTCTGGCAGATTCTGATTGAGCCTCTGTGCACACAAGCCCTTGTTTCAATTACGTATTGCCCCTTCTTTAATGTTTGTCTGTTCTTTAGTCATCTGTTTCTCATCTGGAGAGCCACTTCTTTTTTTTCCTGCTCTCTGACCTCCACCAGTCACTCTGCCTTATATCAGTTTACCACCAGTTCAGGAACTGCTTCCTTTTCTGAGCAATCTCATGGAAAGCCAGGGTTTCTGAGGCCTTCCATTACCCACTACATTCTGCCATTTAGATTTTGCTCTCCTTAGGAAACTTGGGTTTTCTTTAAAGATTCTCAACAGGAAATGTCATTTGTTTAATGCTGTCCTGCTCCAAATCTACCTGAGTGCAAAGCAAGCAGAGTGGAGGAATTGCTACAGCAGAGCCATCTCTCTACTAGAGGGGAGCTTTCCCCCAGACCTTCTGCATCCAGATGGGGCTAGCATCAAAGTCTGGGCACCCATTCCAAGCAAGAATGACATGGTCAGAGCTGTCCTTTAGGAAGAAACTTTAACAGCTATAGAGGAAAGAGTGGAGGGAGACAATCTCTAGAAGCTTCTGCAATAATCTAGGGGACATGGAAATTCAGTAAGACCTGAATTGGACAGTAAGAGAGGGATAAAGAGGAGAGGATGGGTAGGAAAATAGACATGCTGGTGGGAGAATTGACAGGAAAGAAATTGATAAGAAACTGACAGGATGTGGGAGAAGAGCAAAAAGTAGCTCTTGCTAGGTTTGAATGTTGAGGAACTGGAAGGGATAATGCCTTTAATTGAATGAGGGAAATAACTGTTTTGAAACGAAGGTGGAAGACATCGACTTTAGTTTTGTACATGAGGGATGCAGACATCCACGAGGACGCTTCCATCAGGCGGTGGAATATGCAGGGATGGATTCAGGCCTGAACTGCATGTATAATTTTGGGACTTTCAGCAGGAAAAACAGAGGAGGGGTATTGGGGGAGTCAGACAACATGAGAAAAGAAGAGGACCCAGGCCTGAGCCTGGAGGAATGCCCACTTTTAAGCCCCAGATAAGAGGGCGAGCACAACGAAGCAGTCTGAGAAAGAGCTAAGGGGTTGGGGAAAACAAAACGAAACAACAGGTAAAACAAAAAAACTGGAAAATACGGTTTTGCCAGCCAAGAGGGGAGATGCAGGAAGCGATGTGGGGCGGGAGGATACGGCGATGAGGGCCGAAGAGGAGCTGATGTTATTTCTGGCAATTAGCTGCTGGTCAGGGCAGGCCTGGCCTCAGTCGCCACAGCTCTCCCCACAGTAAAAGCAGCACCGAGGCGAGGCTCGGGGTGATTCGCCCCCTCCTCACAGACTTCAGCCTCCGTTATTAGAGTGTCGCGGGATAAAAAGCCTCACTGCTTCCTAAAGTTCAACAGCCCCCCGAAATTCCTAACAGATCCTCTCGGTCTTTCACTTCATTTGAGTCAATACGAGGAAATCACAGACTGGAAGCTGACGCGCAGGCAGCCACAGAACCATCCTACATATTCATGAGGCCCCGGCTCCCGCCAACCCGCTCTGGGGCGCACCTTCCCCGCCGGGGAGCCCCGCCCCTCATGAATATGCAGCCGGCGCGGCCCGCCGCGCCCCGCCCCGCCCTCTACTCTTCTCCCTCGCAACGGACTCTCCCTTCAAACGGGAAACAAGATGGCGGCCGCGGGTCCAAGTACTCGGGCCTCTTCCGCGGCGGCGGCGGCCGCTCTGAGTCGGCGGGGCCGGCGGGGCCGCTGCGACGAGATGGCGGCCACGAAGACCGGCGCCTCAGGCCCGGCCTCGGGCTCCGCGCTGCTGGTGCTGCCGTCGCCGTTGCTGCAGCCGCCGCCCGCGCCGCGGCCGGAGGAGTCGGGCTGCGCCGGGTGCCTGGAGACCCCGGGGGAAGCCGCGGCCCTGCCGTGCGGCCACTCGCTGTGCCGAGGCTGCGCCCAGCGCGCCGCCGACGCGGCAGGCCCGGGCTGCCCGCGCTGCCGCGCCCGCGGCCCGGGGTGGGCCCGCCGTCGGGCCCGCGACGACGGCCAGGCCGACGCGGAGGTGCCGGGCGAGCGCGCCCGCCGCGGCCAGCCGGAGCGCTGCCGCCCGCGCCGGGACGGGGGCGCGGCCGCCGCGGGGCCCAGGCCGGAGCAGGAGCCGCGCGCCGCGCCCGCGGAACCAGGTGGAGCTTCCCCCGTCCCCCTGGGGTCGGGAGCGAGGCCGAGCGCGCCCCGGCCCGGCCTGGCGAGGGGGTGGCGGGTGTGGAGAGCTCTCGGGAGGTCGGGACCCGGGCGCTGCCCGGCCGCAGCCTCTTGTTTGTGAATTTTCAACTTCGGGATGAAGTACGGGCTCGTTGTTGGATTTGGAGGGGCTGTGAGGGGACCCCGCGCCTTGCGTAAGTCAGAAGTTTGGGGGGACCTGAGCAGTCTCGAAACAAGTGAGGGGCAGGTGGGAGTTGCTGTGTGGAAGGAGACTGAACTTTTGCAGGCGCCCCCGGGCCGCAGAGAAGTGCGCGGTTGAGGGTGGGGTGCAGAGCCGGGGGCGTCGGACTGCTCGCAGAAATGGGGCTCCTGGGCCCGAGGGGGTCATCGAGAGGGGTGGCGTGTCCGGAGGGTAGAGGACAGCTTGCGCTGGAGGATATGCAGGGAGCCTTGCAGACTTGAGAGTAGACTGAGTTGAGAGAATGAGCTCCCAAGTGCAGTTTTCACAAAATCTTGAGAAATGCGCGCCGAGCACAGGGTGCTCACAAACAGGGAGGAAGCAATACGTGACAGCTATTTATATTTATAAAATACTACTACTAATAGACGCCAGGAGTGCCCGGCAGAAACAAAAGCTGACTGGGATTTAAAGGTTTTGGAAACAGAGATTGGCTGGCGGGGGCTGCCTCTCTCCCCCTGACAGAGTAGATTTTCTGCAGTTCAAAGTCTGTTGCAGGACCCTTGTCTTCCACTTCTTTGCATCTCCTACCTTCTGCAGCCTGTCAGTCTTTGGTGCTGAGCTTTGACATAGAAAATGCCCTGTTGAAAAGAAAACAAAACCGTTATAACTTGCGACTCTGAGACCCACAACATCTACAGCTCTTTGAATAAAAATGCTTACCTAAGTGGAGATTTTCAAGAAACATAATCAGGAAGGGCCATATATTTGCAGCTTCTGTGCCGGGAATCCTGCCATGTGTTATTTTCAGTAGGGAAAAAGAGGCATAGCTTGTTTATGAAAGCACAGTCTCTGGAAACTACAGGTTCCAGAATGCAGTCTGTTAGGATTTCAAGTAGTCGGACACCTGCTACTGCCCTGGGATAATTAATTCTGCGTCTTAGTTTCAACGTTCCGTCTAATTTTTTTAAGCTTCACAACATCCTTATGAGCTAGGTACTATAATTTTACAGTAGGAAATAGGCTCATAGAAATTAAGTAACTTGCCTGTGGACAGAAACCTAGTTCCATCTGATGCCTGTTCAAATCAGGGATGAAGGCCTCCCCAAACGTCAACCGATTTGTGGACGCTGTGTGCTAATTGCTTCAAATTCTGAGATTATGATGAAAAAAAGAAGACACTTTTTCTGGCCACCCTATTAATGCTGTCTGTTATATGGTCAAGTAGGATAGAGATTTCTGTTTTTATTTCCATAACTTGGACTACCTTGTGAAATATCAGGTCTGAAATTTGAATCATGGGAAGAATTAAGGCTTGATGATTTGTGCAAATCCTTTTTTCTCTTGAAGAAATTTGTCATATAGTAGTGATTAAAGAAAATTATATGAAATGAGATTCTAACTTAGGATGTATTGAGTCACTGAGTAGCCACCAATTACTTTATATGTTTATATGACCATTATCATGAAAATTATTTTCCCTTCAATGTTCTTGTTGGATCATTGAGTGTCTACAGTTACATACTTGAGTCAAAGCATGGTAGAACAATGCTGAACAGGGTTTGGGATTATCTTTCAGTTTCAGCAGATAGAACCTCTTGAGGTTATATACATTTCTGTTAATTTAAAATTTTAGTAGGCAGTGCAGTCACATGATTCAAACTAAAATATAAGAAAGTTTAAAATGAAAAGTTTCCTCTATCCTTTTTCTCATTTCCCACTTCCACCAAAGATTCTTATTCTAGTTTCTCTGCTTATACACAAAAATGAGTAACTCAATTTAATTTTTAATCCTTTTACAGAAAGTTATTTATTATACATGTTGTTCTGTGTCTTTTATCCTTTAATAATACATGATGGGAATCTTTTCAAAGAAATATTTAGACTTCTTCATTCTACTTACAATTGCAAGAGATTTCACTGAATGGCTGTAAACATAATTTACTTAACCATCTGTTGGTAGATATTTGGATTGTTTCCGACCTTTTGCTATTATAAGTAATTGTTTATAAAATTACTATACAAGTGTGTGTGTACATTTTAAAGGAGAGGTCACCTGTAACTTTCACCAGATTCTCAAGATTTGCAGAAAAAGATTGACCATTACTTTAATCAAGACCCCTCATTCTACAGAAGAGAGAACTGAGGACCAGAACAGAGTGACCAGCTAAAAATCTTGTGAGTCAGTAGCAGATAAACAAGGTCTAAAAGAACAGCTTATTAATACAAGCTAAAATATAGCCTAATTCATAATTAAGTGCGCGCGATGACTTTTTATAGAAAAAAAACAAAGTACCAGTTTCATAAATATTTGCATTGTGCTTTTACAAGTGGGAAATGTCAGAATTAGCAATTTTAGGTAGATTCAAAAGTTTTTTGCTTAGCAGAGATCTTCTGGCTTAGTTCAATCAATTGATAAAAGAAGGTTCAGGCCTGCTTTATGATTCTGGAGGCAAAATAGTGTAGTAAATGCAGTGCTGTTTAAGTGAAAATCTTCCAATTTTAAAAATTTTGTCAAAACTCCATGAATTTTGGAATTGAATCATCTACGGAAAAATGGGCAAGAGTGTGGGCTTGTTGAAAATTTTTATTTTTTGTCACTTTCTTGGCAAGCTTTAAGTTTCAGAACCTTAGTGACCCCCATGTAAAATGTTTTATTTTTACATGCATTTTCAGTTTGCGTTTGGGTATAACATGAGTTATTGTTCTTGTTGATTTGTGTAACACTGTGTATGAGGACTAAGTCAACGATTATTTCATGGTGAACCCAGATTTCAACTTTATGTTCTTTGAGGATCTACAGCTCATTGACATATTAACATTTGGACCATCTTGAGCAATACTCAGCAAGTATTTAATGAGAGCCTGCTGTTCTAGGTTCTAGGGAGACATCAGTGAATGAAATAATCAAGCTATCGCCCTCCTAGAGCTTATATTCTGGTTCAGTGACTTAAAAAGCATTTGCCACCCAGCTATCTATAGGTAGATTTACAACTATATGCAAAATTAGTACTTAAGTCTCATCAATAATAATGAATAAGTTTTAAGTTTAAGAATTAGTCTTTCAATTGGACATCCAAGGATGATCATTCTAAGTTATACTTGAAACTTTTTAGCACAATTCATTTTCTTCTACCATGGATAGTAATTGGAGAGAAAAGCTAGACAAAAGACTGATAAATCTTTTAAATTGACAGTCAATTTTTTTTCTATTTGTAGTATTTAAAGTGCATTTCAAGAAACTGAATAGATAAAAAAATTTAGTGCCTCATCTATCCCTGCCCTTTTCCCCATCCCAACTTCCCTGTTCACTTAGGATTGCTGTGTACACATTTAAAGTATTTCCTCTTTCTATGAAAAACAAGTAGTTCTGGTTTATTACTCAGTTGACAGACAATGTTTTGTTATGTGTAAAGCCTAAATTGCATTTAGGACTAATGAATAATGAAATCATGTGATTGTAGTGTATGAGGACAGGAATTCCCCTATTTGTAAGGATTTGCTTTAAAATGTATAAAATGACTCAACCTTTTATCTTTAATGACACATATTCCAGAGTTTGAGAGTGTCCTATGTGTTATACTAATGCAGGAAATATTTGCCTTGTGTTTGTTTTTTTTTTTTAAAGATTACCTCATCATGTATTCTACTAACTAAACATGACTTACATGGACAAAATAGCTCTACTCTATAGGATTTAGGGATGAGCAACAGGAACTTAGGAGATACTTGCTTTTGTTCATTCATATTTCAACTCTCTGACTTCTGGTTACTCTGGGGAGAGTTGCTTATCTTGAATTCATTTATATCTGAGATTGCTGTAATATAGAACGTAAGGTATTTTTTTCAAGTTTCATTCTATTAATTCGATGAGCATATTGGAGCACACAGCAAGTAAGATGATACAATAAAAAAGATGAATAAGGTGTGGACTCTAAGATCCCCCAATCTAGTTGGGGAAACACACCCTTTTGAATAACAATAGAAAGTAGCAGAGTACCAAGTACCAACACTGGTACCTAGTCCCAACACTGTATGGGAATGGGCTGACAGTTTGCAAGAAACCTGAGGAAAGCATCTGACTTGGATGTTGAAAGGAAGAGTAGGAATTGGCCAGATGAGGGGATACAGAAGAACCTGTGTGTACAAAGGCAAGAGCATGTTTGGCATATTTAGGGACTGACAAGGAGGTAAATATAGATGGAATATGGACTGGTGTGGGGAAGGAGATATCAGAAGTTAGATCATGAGGGGAATTGTGTGTCATGTGAAAGGAATTTGGGGCTTCTATAGATAGCACAAAATCTGTATCTTAAAGATTTTTAAGCAGTGGAATGATGTCACAACATCATTTTTGAAAGATGATATTGGTTGGCATGTGGAAGAAAGATCTGAGTAGAGGCTGGAGAAAGGAAGTTCCATTACAGGACTATTTTAGCAGGTCTGGAAAGAGATGAAAAGGGGCTGGGCTAAAGCTGTGACTCTGGGGATATTTCAGTCATTCACTAATTTAGTGATCATCTGAGGGACTCCTGTGAGATAGGCAACTAGCTCTAAAAACCAAGGCATGATTTTGCCTCAGAGTCAAAGTTTAGTTGGAAAGATTTGTATATAAACATGAAACTAATGTGGTATGATGAATGCAGTAATAGCTTTAATGCAAGATACAGTTGTAGAAGGCATAATGATGTAAATAGAGCCAGTTAATGGAACAGGATCTGGAGACAGCTTCCTAGGGTTGAATTCCAGCTCTGCCACTAATTCCAGCTCTGCTGTGTATCATTGGGCACATTGCTTCAGCTC